TTTTTTTTTTCTTTTGTAGTTATTTCTGTCTTTAGCTTGTAGGTTGATCCGTTGGATTTTCTTTGGAACTGTAGTCATTTTTGTTATTCTTCTTCTTCTTCGATTCCCCTATGATTATCATCAATTTAAATTATTCTAGAATTAGGGTATGTTTTTTGTCATTGTTGATCAGCTCTTCTTCACGTGCCAGAACCGTGACTTTTGCTCCTTTCTCGTTTGCTCCAATCTCTTCCTTTTGTTTTGAGCCCTTTTTGTGTTTCTCTTACCATTGGTTCTCTTGGGTTTCATCTCTAGCCTACCCCAACTTGCTTGAGACAAAAAGGCTATGTTGTTGTTGTTGTATTTTATTTTATTTTTTATCATCTCAAGAAATCTGATTCTAGTGAGGTAGTTGTTGTGAAAGAAGAAAAGTTGAAAAGAATATTGGGCTAATCTGTTTTTAGGAAACATAAAGATAATTATTGTTTTGTGGGGTTGGTTGCTTAAATCCTTTTTGCCTTTCGACTAGAGTGGATAAATGTCCATAGAGGTTTCTGATTTATCTGAAAAAGATGCAAGAATGGGCTTGCATTTTTCTCCTATGGAGTAAAGTATCAGATAAAATCATTGGTTCATTATAGATTTAGTACAGTTGTATCGAAGAAGTTATATGCATAAGCTCGTCTTCTTCTAAGCATATTTGATTGGACATATCTGTTTTGTGGAAATCCAACATATAGCAAACCTAGGTAGCAACTCACCTTTCGAAACAGTGTTGGTTATTAAGAAATTTTGCTTCAACCCGTTTCACACACTTGTTTCAGATTTTTATAATACTTATGGTTCTATGAAAAACAAGAAAAAAAATAGAGGCTCGACAATTTTGAAATACCAGTCATGCTCTGGGTGCCGATTGGATTGACTGAAGCTGTCACGTTATTAAAGTTTCAAGTCTAGCTGAATAACCGAATAATATTGCTCATTATGGTTTTAGGTAACTGAGTCTACTAATTTCGAGGAGCTAGTGGATAAGGAAGCATGGATCTCGTCAACAAAGCTGGTTGTGAAGCCAGATATGCTATTCGGGAAGCGTGGGAAAAGTGGTCTGGTTGCTCTGAACCTAGATTTGGCTGGAGTTGCTTCTTTTGTCAAAGATCGACTTGGCAAAGAGGTATCTTTTGCTGTTATCTCTTACCAAGTTATATATCATGTTTGACCTGTTTGAGTGTTTTAAACAGGTCGAAATGGGGGGATGCAAAGGACCTATTACGACGTTTATAGTCGAACCGTTTGTTCCACACGATGAGGAATACTATCTCAACATTGTTTCCGAGAGGCTAGGTTGTAGCATTAGCTTCTCCGAATGCGGAGGAATTGAAATTGAAGAGAACTGGGACAAGGTGCTTTGGATCATTTACTTCATTTGCTTTCCTTATCTTCACAATATGTGTTTCAACTGAGAAAATTGGATGATTATGTAGCTACCCGAGTTTTTTACTAAATACAATAAAACCTGATTACATTTTGGAATTACAAATGCTGCAGAGTATTTCTATTTTAAGAGATAGTTTGATGTTTTCGTTGTTATGCTAGACCTCAGGGATTGCTTTTCCTAATTAACCCCCGAAATAAAATTTTCATCTATGTATTTAGTTTATATGTTTTCGTGAAGTCTCAATGAAGCTGATGTATCCTTTCACTTTTTGTAGGTGAAAACTGTATTTGTCCCTACAGGTGCATCTTTGACATCTGAGCTATGTGCTCCACTTGTGGCGACGCTTCCCTTGGAGGTTATATATGTTGTTAATATAGCACAATGTTTTTTATTTTTTATTTATTTGTTAATTTATTTATTTTTTTTTGGCAATTTCTTGCATGTTTGATTAGTTTTACTATATAGCTTCTGCTTGCATCAAGCATATATATGACTGCAATTCCCTTTTTTTTTTCCCATGATACAGATAAAAAATGTAATCGGAGAATTCATCAAGTCTGTCTATGCTTTATTTTTAGGTATGTGTTAGATTCTAAAATAGCTTTTGTTTATCTCTAAGGTTGTGCATTTTGTCTGATGACCAAAGAAATATTCTATCGATTTCAGATTTGGACTTCACTTTCGTTGAGATGAATCCTTTCACGTTAGTCAATGGAAAGCCATATCCTCTGGATATGAGAGGCGAGCTCGATGACACTGCTGCTTTTAAGAACTTCAAAAAGTAATGTAATTTAGTTTGCATAATTCTTTCTCCTTTTCAATATTACAATTTTGTTGTTGATTATGTGTTTGTGATCCTTCAGGTGGGGAAATATCGAATTCCCCCTGCCATTCGGAAGATTAATGAGTCCTTCTGAAAGCTTCATTCATGGACTTGATGAGAAGGTACTAATTTGTAAACCAAGTTTTTGTTTTTTTTTTTTTTTTTCAACTTTTGTTATGCTAATACTTGAAGTCATAACCTGGTAATACCTTGCCCTGCTATTAATGATTTGATTATCCTTTCGCTCAGCGTGATAGGATTATCTTTTACCTTGATTTTTATGTTTAACATATAAAATGCCTTTATCTCAGATCTAGAAGCATACTGTTCAATGACCCAAAAACTCACTCTAGCAGTCTCTGTTTAAATTCTAAATCAGGAAAAGCTTATACGTTTTCTTTTCAATAATATTTCAGACAAGTGCATCATTGAAGTTTACCGTTTTAAACCCCAAAGGACGAATATGGACTATGGTTGCCGGAGGAGGTGCAAGTGTCATCTATGCGGATACGGTGTGTTTCCCTCAACTTGAAACATTAGCGCGATTGGATATAAAAACTAACATATAAGTACATTATTCATCATCATTTCACTTTTTTCCCCGTCAATTTTATCTATATAATTTTTAAAGTAAAACTTAATTATTACTTCATATTTTTCTATAAAACTAGTAATTGATCCTTATAAATAAAGTTTTATAAATTATAGTTATATATAATATCAAAATTATAAATTAGATAATGTACATATCACATTTTACAAATTTTTGTTTTCATTTATAACATAGCAATACAATATAAGTTATTCCTACACATGAATCATTATAGATAATTTAATGTATAATGTAATTTTTATAAATTTGAGGCATAATTTTCAGTTAACTAGCTAGAAAAATACTGGATTATTATTATTATTATTATTATTATTATTATTATTATTATTATTATTATTATTATTATTATTATTTATGCGATTTGAAGGGGTTTGTGACTGTGTCATTAATACAATTAGCTATTTAGGAAAAACAATGGTTAATGATATGCAATAAAATATAGATTTTAAAATAATATTTAGCTTGAACAAAATAAATTAAAATATAATATTTTATACTTATATTAACTTTTATATACCATTAGCTTGAATTATAATGAATTGATTTTTGTAATAACTATTATATGATTATATGATAGATAAATTAATAAAAGAGGAGTGCTATATAAAATGTAGCGGTTTTATCATAATTAACTTAAAAATGGGTTGGGAAATTTTTTCTTTGCATTAATTTGATAGCCTCCAATTATATGTATATAGATTTACTATTTATTGACTCACATGCATATAACTCCCACGCATTTACTATTTATTTACTCACATTATTTTTTTTAGATTACTCATTACATTTCCATCACATGGATCACTCTTCCTATATTCTTCCCAAAATAGATTTCCGAACACTTCGAAAAAACATTGTAATGAAAGCATATCAATTGCACCTTCTTTTGGGGGTGATTTTCTGAGACTTGTGATACTTTTATAGGTTGGAGATCTTGGGTATGCATCCGAGCTTGGTAACTATGCAGAGTACAGTGGTGCACCTAATGAAGAGGAGGTCCTGCAATATGCCCGAGTTGTTATTGATGTAAGAGTTACTTTAATTATGTGAGGCATTCCACATAATAACTCTTTTCCGCAAAATCGTTATTTGGTCACATCTGTTATTTACAGAGGGAAGAATTCAAGAGCTACCTATAAGGTGTAGCTTAATTATATTTTTATTATTATTTTGTTTACTTACACAAGGGAATTCTAAGTATGAGAGAGTTTCTATGTAGCAATTTGGAACTACAATTTTATAACTAATTTTGTCTCGTATTTAGCATTCCGTGCAATTTTGCTAGCAACGAGTACTGCAGTATTACACTTTTATAAGATCGATCTTAGAACGAGGTCAGAGCTCATGAGATCATTTACAAAAATCATAACTCACGAGACCAAATTGAGTACTTTTTGTGCACTAACATGACAAAATACACCAATGACAATTGGTATACACTATTCTTTTAGGAGTCAATATCCCACCTCTATATTCCACATGATCATAAGTTCTATTCAAGCCAATGTCTGTATCATGTATATTCCTTAAGTATGCCTGAAAAATGAGGAAGATAAATAATATTGAGTATAAATATTTATGAATATTTTCATGCTCTCTCTGATCAGTGTTGGTGAGTCGAATGTCGATATTTGTATTATTAAAAAAATATTTGGTTTTATCTTGTTTGTAGTTATGCTAAGCTTGAAGAATATCCGTGAAATTGATTTTATATTTTTCTTTTTATCTTGATGTGCTTTATTTTCATCCGGGTTAGTTGATGAGTGAATGATGAACAAAGTTTGCATTGGCTAATGAATTTGTTCAGTGTGCAACAGCGGATCCTGATGGCCGTAAACGTGCCCTCGTGATTGGTGGTGGGATAGCAAACTTCACGGATGTTGCCGCCACATTCAGTGGCATCATTCGAGCTTTAAGAGAAAAGGTACCAAAAAGACTAGTTTGTTTTAATTTCTTTAATTAAAAAATTTGGAGGGAGTTCCAAATTAGGCTGGTTTGTATGACAGGAGGTGAAGCTGAAGGCCGCCAGAATGCATCTATATGTTCGAAGAGGAGGTCCAAATTACCAAAAGGGTCTCGAGAAAATGAGAAGTCTGGCTGATGAAATCGGCATCCCTATTGAGGTATATACGCTCGATGCTCCATTGGATCTGCAACAAATATATATAATTTCAGACACAAAATAGATGTCTAAACATGAAACAATAGTCACTAAATCAAGTTATCAATCCAGATATAATTTAAGCAGCATCTTGAGATTTCTATCCACTTATACAGTTATACCCACATTAAATGCAATTTCTGTAATAGAAATTTTGTTGACCTAAGCCTAATATGATATATAGGTATATGGACCTGAGGCAACCATGACTGGAATCTGCAAACAGGCAATTGAGTGCATTAGTGCTGCAGCTTGAAGGTGCAAATGCTGATTAATTTACGAGCTTCTTTTTATCTGTTTTCTTCGCAATAAATTTAGACTTATGTTGTCGAGGATTTTAAGATTGCTGTATTCTTTCTTGACTTCTGCAACAAATTCCCCATTAATGCAAGTTATCGAGGACTAAATATGAACTTGTGAGTGTGGACATATATCCTCTTGTTGTAAAGACATTTTTTCCTATGTCCTTGTGTTAATTTGGGGGTGCTAACATGCATACACCTTTTTCTTGGAGCATCACAAATCTTTGGGTTCATTAATAAAAATTTACACGCCACATATGAAATATATTCAGCCTAAAAAAATATATTTCCGGTGGAAGAGCAAGTGTATTGGGTCGTGCTGATGTGACAAGAAAAAAAGATTAGATCTACCCTTAAGTCTATTTTAGATTCAAACATAGACCCAATCTATTGCATTGGAGTGAATTGTGATACTTCTATATAATTTTATTCATGTCATTCAAGACTTTAGTCTATCTATATGTCATGTAAACAAAATTAGACTCAATGCTTGTGAATGCTCTTAGAGAATTATTATTATTATTATTATTATTATTATTATTATTATTATTATTATTTTTTTTTTTTTTTTTTTTTTTTTTTTTTT